ATTGTCGAACCTACTACATAAACAATTTTCTCACACTCACACTACAACACCCTATCAGTTATTGCTACAACCCACAACGCTACCTGATATCAAATTATGGTGTGAAATATCAACGGAATCTCCGCGAATCTACATTCCGCAGCAATTTAGAGAAATAGTTATACAAAAATTTCATGGTTTATCTCACCCTGGCATTCGAGCAACCATTCATTTAATAAAAACAAAATTCTTTTGGCCTCATATGTCGAAACAAATTCGTATTTGGACAAAATCATGTTTACAATGCCAGAAAGTTAAGATACAAAGGCATACAAAATCGCCAATTCTCAAAATCAAAGTTCCAAAAGTTCGATTTGAACACATTCACATTGATTTGGTTGGCCCACTTGTTCCATCTCTTGGATGTACTTATCTGCTCACAGTCATTGAGCGTTTCACACGGTGGCCAGAGGCTTTTCCTCTAAAAGATATCTCTGCAGCCTCTATTGCAGATACTCTTTTCAGGCATTACTTCAGCCGTTTCGGTATTCCTACCATGATCACTCACGATCAAGGACGACAATTCGAATCACTATTATTTTCAAAATTCCAATTATTTTTAGGTACTCATCAAATACACACATCTGCTTATCACCCACAAAGTAACGGTATGATTGAACGATTTCACCGTACTTTGAAATCAGCGATTATTGCTCGAGGTAATTCTACTAGATGGAACAATGACTTGCCTAAGCATTCGCCTAGGTTTCAGGTCATCCCTAAAGGAGGATTTAGGTTGCTCATCCGCTGAATTGGTTTATGGTCAGCAACTCAGATTACCAGGAGAATTTTTCTTACCTACCGAACCATCAATTGAAACTGAACCATTATTATCACGTTAAAATCATCTTTTGCTGACATTAAACCAGTTCAGTCAACCATCCATTCCAGCCAAAAACCTTTTGTTCACAAAGAATTATTCAGGTCAAACTTTGTATTTGTTAAAATTACTGAAGTTAAACCTACGTTGTCTCCTAGGTACGAAGGTCCCTTCAGAGTGTTGAAGAGATTTTCAAAATTTTTCGTTGTATTGAAAGACAGTAAAGAAATAAATGTAAGCCTCGATTTGCTGAAACCGGCTTTCTTTTTGAACGAAAACGTTTCTCTTGAAGTCAACAATTTAATAATTAATAAAACTAAAAAAGTACAATTTAAATTTTAATTCAAATTTTTGACTAAATGTTTTCCGTCTTTCTGTTCTTTCTTTATAGGAGGGGAAGTGGATGTAGCGTGCTGTGGCAGCAGCTCCATTTAAAAACATAAAATTGTTATTCATTTGTTATTATTTTTATATTTGCACACAATTGTTTTTGAAGCAGAATATAACAGACGCAAAATAAAAATTCTGCCAAAAAGTTAATTTTATTATTATGTTGGCTAATACCTCATAGCTACATATATTAAAAATAAGATAAGAGTATAAAATAGTACTGTAGTATTCGTGATTAAATTTATGCCACGACTTACAGAAACATCCTGTGTAATCGTAAAACGACTGACCAAGCGGATTATGTGCTTGTGATGGCTGTCATCAGTATTCTGTGATAAAAATAGACAGGCACCAAACAATTTTCAATAGTTTGAGCCTGTCTATTCTGAGAAGTCTTATATTTTTAGAGAGATGAAAACGCAAATCCCATTTTTCTCAACATTGTTCATTTGTCGCTTAGTCCAAGTCTAAAATCGTGATGTAACTTTTTAGTCGATCGTGAAAAATTTTATGAGTAGTCTAAAAAAACCTAATTCAAGCAAAATGTGATGCTTGGAATATACACCAGAACGAAGTTTTACGTCGTCTATCCAACGCATCGGGTGGAAATTCGGGGGAAATTCAATTTCCGTAGGACGACCACCCGGTCGGGGTTGATAGCAACGTTGCCCATACCGCTTTTTGCCATGGTGGTTGACTTTTTTTTACTTCTTCTAACTGTTTGGACACTCTACACTATATCGTAAAGTAAATAAGTTTCGTCGCTTGCATACATTAACACTTCTTGTGCCACCGTATTTGTCGAGGGTTTATTGCATTATCTGGTTGAGTGTGTTCTTGCTTAATAATGTTGGTTTAAGCGCAGCCTCGAGGATAACGTGTTCTACCAAACCGTAAGTCATTATTACGGTAGACAAACCACTTGTAATAACCGTCGAGAGGATTTCAATGCTTAGGATGTGAAGCTTTGTTTGATAATTGTATCTAGGTTAAATAAGTTATTTAAAGTTTATATTCGGGCTCTTAAAGGAACAGAAATCTACGAAAACGGAAGGTTTAATCCGTCTGCGAGAATTAATTTCCGGCTATCGACTGAAACTGCGAGCTATCGGACTAAAATAATTGCTTCAGTATGTCAACTCGGGTGCAATCCTTTCGATTCATTACGTTCCCTTAATACTGATGAAATGCGATGTTATAAAGAAGAAGAATATCTCGTTTGATTTTCAACAGAAATTGATCTTTGAAATCAAATCCTCAATTTGTTCGTTTTCTTCTAAAATGTGAAAAACATCAATAATTCATTAAATCCACTTTTCTTAAGGCACCATTTATTTTCGAGAAATAGAGAATAGTATCCGGGTTGAAATCGTCGTTGAACTCACCCCAACTCTTAGATTTAAAACTTTTAGACGACGACAAGATGAACGGAAATTTTCCCCGCTATTTGTCCACAAAGTTTCCCGCCGGTATTTAATTTAATAGCGAAATTCCGTCGATTACGAAGTCGTAAGACTTCCGATTTTCCGAAAACCCCGGGAATGAGGGTAAAGGGATGAAACGGGTTGGGTTGGGAAAAGTTGGAACGTAAATAGTTGGGGGGGTCGGTCAGGATTTTAAATTTAAATTCCAGAACGACACCCCTCTAATAATTAAACCCGTCACACTGAGAACTACCTGAAAATGATCCCAAAAATGTCTGGCAAAATCCATGCAAAGATGAAAGAAACGAAAGTGGACGAGCGATCGGAAAAACTAGATCGCGTTTTAGCTGAACCAAACGCTTCCGATCTCTCTCTTCTATTTTTCTTTTTTGCCTTGTGTGCTCGGTGTTCGAATGAAAGCAATATAAAATCGCCGCGTACGATATAAGGCCCTGATATATCGTCGTAGCGTCGAGATATTCGCACGTAAATTGTAAAAAGTTCTCGGGGAAGTTCGACCCGGTTTCCGCGACTAGTTTATTTCCTAGCATATTTTTGGCAAATGCCAAGAGCGTGCATAGTACTCAGAGAACGATCTTTTAAAAATAGAAAATAACAAGAAATTTTTATTATCCCAAAACAAAATTCAGAAATAGTTAAATCTTTTAATAATAATAATAATAGTTTATTCTTCAACAGTACATATATACAAAAACTGTATTAATGCTAATTAAACTTAAAAAAAAAACAAAAGAAAAAAAGCTAATAATAGCTGCTGAAGAATCATAAGGTCGCGGATTCAGTCCCATGGCCAAAAGACCATTACTGTTCTTCCACCGCAGCCTTAAATTTTAAAAAAGCTATCAACACAGTCCAGTAAATACCTAAAAAGAACTTAAAGCTAAAATTCCGTATTATCACTAAATTACCGATCTTAAAGAATCAAAATTTAAACCAATGCTATCAAACAACATAACATACAATTTAATAACGCTCCGAGGTTCCTCGATGTTAAAATTACTGCATGTTAAAAAGGTAATTAAACAACAAACACTTAAACGCACGGCCATGCCCAACCTTTATATAATCTGGTATAGAGTTGTATAGAGAATATACACTGTAGGTAAATGATCGCTCAAAAAGGGTGGTCCTATGCTTAGGAGGATTTATAACATTTCTATTTCTAATGTTGGCACTATGCAAGTCACCTCTAAAATAAATCAATTCCAGCTAAGTAAGGTGGATTGCGACCAAGAATCATATTATGATAAAGTGTAAGTAATAGCATTTTAATACGAGACCTCATATTAAGCCATCCAAGATCCTTCAATTGATAAGTTATATGGTCATATTTTCTTATGCCGAAAATGTACCGCATACAAGCATTTTGCACACGCTGCATCCTAGACACTCATCAAAGAAATGGGTAAACTAATCGACAAAGTAAAACTGGAAATGGTGCAATCAAAACAAAAAAGCACTTATGAATATCTTCGACGTCAACTTCAACAGCAAATGGACAGAATCTCAAGATTGGAAGAAGAAACAAGATTTCAAGCCCGATACTTCGAAGAAGATGTATATTCCAACCTTCAGACGAATTTTTTTGCCGTAATGGAAAAACTAGAAGACATCATTTCTAACCCACCTTCCTCTGAAACAAGGGATCACCTTGTATGACCTTTTCAAAAAATAATCCACGCTAGTAAGGAAAAGCTAGTCGAATAATCCAACACCTGCAAATATCCGATAGTAATTATGATGCAGCGTGGACACTTCTACAAAAACGTTACCAAAACAACTGATTAATTCTATCAAAACTACTGGACAAGATTTTGGATCTACCAGCAACTACGACTGAAAACGGGGAAAAGATAAAGGAATTACACGATACAACAGTCGAGTGTCTCCAAACCATATCGAACCTGGGAATCCTATCATAAGAAGAATACTTGTCAGAAAATGGGACTATGAGACGAACAAGCAATACGAACTGTCGTTGAAAGAACCACATAAAATACAAGACTTCCAAGATTTATTAAGTTTTTTCAGAACTCGCTTCCAAACACTAGAAGCAATCGCTGAACCAAAAAAGCGAAACAATCCAATGCAAGCTTACAATAAGAATAAGTGCAGATATTGTAAAGAAAACCACATAATACACTTCTGCATGAAATTCAAAAAACTTACAGTTCCAGAAAGAACAGAGTACATCAAAGCTCAAAAATTGTGCAAAAATTGCATATCTCACGACAAAAGCAACATGTGCAACTCAACGTTAAGATGTTACATCTGCCAAAAACCACATTATACGTTGTTTCATAGAGATGAGAACAAGCAGATTATCTAAAGCACAAAATCTACAAAAATGTAATCCTAGTTTCTANCTACATGGAGGAAATCAAGCAACGTTAGCTTATATTAGAAGAAAATATTGGATCATAAATGGAAAACGTGACGTACGAAACATCCTCCAAAAATGCGTAAAATGCATTAGATACAAGGCTCAGACAGCAGAACAAATGATGGGAGAACTTCCTGCACCAAGAGTCTGCCCAGCTCCCCCATTCACTCATACTGGTGTAGATTATGCCGGCCCGATTCAAATTCGTACCACGAAAGGAAGAGGCCACAAATCATATAAAGGGTACATCGCCGTCTTTGTATGCCTGACAACGAAAGCAATTCATTTGGAAGCAGTCAGTGACATGACCACAGAAACGTTTCTGGCTGCACTAAAAAGATTTACCGCTCGACGTGGTCACTGTGAGCACATGTACAGTGATAACGGAACAAATTTTGTTGGAGCCAGTAAGCTATTACAACCAGAGATTGCAACAGTCATCCAGGATCGGTCATTTCAAGACAGCCTTGCAACTCAAGGGACGCAATGGCACTTTAATCCGCCCGCAGCTCCTCACTTCGGAGGAATTAGGGAAGCCGGAGTGAAATCTGTCAAACATCACCTAAGACGAGTCATTGAGGAGACAACATTAATATGTGAAGAACTCGCCACGCTTCTTTATCAAATAGAAGCATCCTTAAATTCCCGTCCATTAACACTTTTAAGTAACCACATGAATGATACAACAGTTTTGAGTCCTGGCTATTTTCTTATCGGCAGACCATTGTTATCCTACAATGATGAGTAAGATTTATCTTCGAGGTGGAAGTTAATTCGAAAAATGAATAAAGGCTTCTGGCAAGCGTGGTCCACTGAGTACCTCAGTCGTTTACAACAGAGATACAAATGAAAAGTTCCACAAGATAATTTCAAGCCTGGTGATGTTGTTATTATCAAAGAAAATATCGTTGATCCCAATCGTTGGCCATTAGCACGAATAACAGAAGTCGAACCATTATGGCAATGTTAGAGTGGCCACGTTGAAAAAGTCTGGTGGAAGTATCCTGAAAAGAGCGATACACAGCTTAGTACCATTACCAATGAACAAAGAAAAACAAGAAGAACCGATCCAAGCAGTTAATATAAATTGCAATCACTACTGCGTAAACAGCGGTAGTCGTAAGAAGAAAACTCTTAAGATGTCAACCATAACATCCGTCTTGATCTTATGCACCGCCATATTCAGTTCGGTTACAGCAACATACAACCTAAAATATTCACATTCTGGATTGTACAGGTGTTCAAATTTCGATGGGTTTGCAGGGTATCTCAGTTATTATGAAAGATAGAAATTTACGGCTTTCGCGAACCTGAGCTACTTTTTTGTGAAACTTACAATGGCGCAAACCAAATTTTTATTGCCCTCATCGTTTTTGATATACAGGGAGTGTTTGAAATTTACGATTTTCAGACACCTCCTGTATCTCGGATATCCGGAAACTTAGTAAAAAAAGTAAAAAACGGGTTCTAATAGATTTTTCACGTGGAATCCAATGGTGCACGTAGAATTTTTCTAGTCATCACGGTTTTTGAGTTATAAACACAATTCAAATACTGAATACTCAAGTTCTAAAATACTTAACTCTTTATAACTCAAAAACCGTGATAACTAGAAAAATTCTACGTGCACCATTGGATTCTACGTGCAAAAATCTATTAGAACCTATTAGAAGGTGTCTGAAAATCGTAAAGTTTGAAACACTCCCTGTATATCAAAAACGAAGAGGGCTATGAAAATTTGGTTTGCGCCATTGTAAGTTTCACAAGAAAATGTAGCTCAGGTTCGCGAAAGCTGCAACTTTCTCTCTTTCATAATAACTGAGATACCCTGCAAACCCATCGAAATTTGGACCCTGTACATCGAACACATGGGACATGCGAAAATAGAAAGAGGAGAATTCAGAATCGAGTCCAAGATCAAAATATCAAGATCTATCTTTAAAAGTTACTTTTTGAGCATTATGATCAGAAAGAACTGATACTAATACTTCACTGTTATAAGTTTTTAAGTTAACATAAATGTTATCTATAAGTTTGCTACTTCCTTTCGTTATCCTTGTTGCTGCAGTGATGGTGGGTTTTAAGTCATATCGACAAAACATTTCCAAGAATCGCTGTATCGGTAGCGTTGGCGTCCAATTGTTGCAAATTTATATATAAATCATAAGAATAATGAAGTATTTTTTTTCAATCTCCTCAAGACTTTGTTAACGAAAAAAGGATTGTATTGTGCTTTAAATATGTGTTGCTCGTAAACTATGTGGCATCCGCGTACCCACACACCAATTTGCTTAAATTACCATAGCCTTTTGTCCGGAATGAATGGAACGTCGGTCGGTTGCCCAGTGAGAGAGTTTGGCACTAGAAATCCCGCCCTGTTAGCCCAGCTTTTAGTAGCTCGAGTGCCGTAACTAAACGCTCCGATATTTTTAGCTAAATTACCCCAACGAGTTTCTCCCTCGATTCCCTTTTCCGTTTCTCCCCATACTCAACGTAGGAACATACACGTGTTATGACCTTCCCCAATAACCAAAAACTAACTTCCAAACCGCATAAACCCAGAAAACTTTCTCGAACGTGCACCCTCCCCCGATCAAAACTCGAAAACTTCGAACGTTCAAAGTGCGCTGATTCTGCAGACGAGCAATATCGAAAGCACCGCCGATAGTCGTCGGTTTCAGGGATTTCAAGTAGTTTCCCAGGTGGTGGCACGTGGCGCAATTTCGATGTCACCAGCTTTACCCAAGTTGGTGTAGTTTCAAAGCTTCGAAGAGTCAATCTGTTGCTAATAAATTTCTACTCGCTCTTTATCGCCTTAAAATCGCCTAAATCAAACTGTCAACAATCAAGAGAGATCATCGATATCCTGCGTTCAACCCCAGATAAGCCGTAAACCGCCTCTTTTATGACAAAGGAAATACAGATCGGTTCTGGGTTTATGCGTTAACGGGTTACCGCTTTGCATACAAATGTATCATTGAATTAAACCGACCAAACCTCCTATTCATGTGCAGAACTGAGAGGGTTTCCTGATGTGACCCGGCTTTGTTGTCATTTCAAATTGAAAGATGTTTGTATGTTGACATTAAGGGTTTCAATGTTAATCAAAATGTGTTTAGATTAATTTTGGAAATTGCAAGTTATTCGTGGATATTGAACGTGTATTTAATGAAGCTTGAAGTGTGAAACGCTGCGGTTTAGTGATATCTTTGATGTGTTAAAAATAGATCGATTGATGTAAAAAAATTAAAAAAGTTGGTACTCTCAGCTTATTTTAGTGGAAATGCTGGGAATATGAATTTGCTTTTAGCACTCACCCTAAAGGTAACGGTACGTTAATTGCATTAAAATCAAGTATTGCATTCTCTTAGAAGGTCCATTACCGAAGAAACTTCGTCTTTTTGCTGTAATCAAATCTTATTAACTACACAGGGCTTGTAGTTTGAGGTTATATGCTCTCTTCATCAATTTAATTTTAGAGAATTAAAAGCACTTGGAAATTTTATATTTAATTTATTGAAATTATAATAAAGTTACAAAAAAATATAAACCGGATTTGCGATTCCATACGAGGGAAACTTTTGTCACTCTGTAATCAACGACACAGTGGGCTTTTAAATTAAATGATAGGAACCTTTTAAAAGTTTGTAATTAAAATGGCTTTGTTAACTTTATTTAATTTTCTTTTAAATGAATGCATTTATTCATAAAATAAAAAAAATGTTCATTAAAGCATTTAAAATACCTTACCCAATTTGTATCGGTGTCACGGCAACGTCAAAGTTGATGAGTTTTAAAAAAGAATTTGATTTACAAGGTTTAATTGCAAACGCGTTACCGGGTTTAAATAGCCGCGTATAATGATTTATTCTCTCGTCGTAATCAATTTTGAAACGATGGGAGAGGGTTGATGGCGGAGGGCGAACGTTTTTCGCGACTAGAAAATGGAAATTGCGAGTCAACGTAGAGGCAATTACGTCCGCGGTAAATCGACGTCGAATTGAAATATTCACAGGGTTTACTCGTAAATTAAGCCCCCGCGCTTGATTAATTGCATTCCACCGAACGTCGGGGGTTTCATTTATTTTAACCCCTTTTATCGATTTGTCTTCATCTTTAAGGATTTTAAACAATAATTTTTCTTATCGCAATTCAAAACGATTTATTTTGTGAGATCATATTTTATTATTAATTTAAAGGATTAATAATTGATTTGAATGATTCAATCATATCCAAGTTTTTAATCCATTTTTTTTTTAATAATAATAATAATTCATTTATAAGTACGAAGGCTTTCACGGCCGAGATTAATTAAACTAAAACTAGAACTAACACTAGCACTATCACAAGACCTAACACTAGACCTAGAATCTTTCGGGTTAAGCCGTGCGTTTTTTGAAAAAATGTTTGACGTTGTGGATGCCATGTTGCAACCTTCTTCAGAAACAAGAGCGTTTTGTATTTTGCTGACCGTACCATATCGTACCACGATTCTCCACCCGGATTTGACAAACCAACTTAGTTGACAATTAGACACTAATTAGTTATTAATTACCTTTTCATGGATTTATTGTCAAATTTTGAACGAATTCGTCACTTCGAACTTGTTTCTGAAGAAGGTTGCAACATGGCATCCAGCTTAACCCGAAAGATTCTAGTTCTAGGTCTAGTGTTAGTTCTTGATATAGTGCTAGTTTTAGTTTAATTAATATCGGCCGTGAAAGCCTTCGTACTTATATTATCAACCTTTATGGGGAGGATATTAACAAACAAATCAATGATCAACTTGACACCTTACGGATTAAACAACACTTAATAGGCTTGGCTTTTCTACGTAGATGCAGAGAAAAGAGGGTAACGCCAACATTCCTCAGAGTGAAGCACCATATCGACACCGCTGCAACACGTAGGATCTTGATGAAGACAAAACAGGCGCTGATACGAGAAAGAATTCATAAAACCTTTAAAGATCTGCAGATAATAAGTGAGAGGTTACTACGACTCCACCTCTCACTTTCCAATTCCATGGCAAGAGAAGACTGGGACAAAGTAGATAGGATAACCATGGAGAAGGCTGAACGTGATTTCCAAAGATGTCGGGATAAGCAGATTAAGAAATTTGAATCGTTGGACCGCCGCACCCACAAGAGGAAAAACAACGATTTGCCAATTGAAGGTGGGATTTCCTAAGCGCGTCTGCCGCAAGCGTCCTACGCGTGCGTCCGACGCTTAATCACCGATGCAACCTAGTCAAACGTAGTAGATTTCCTATGAGTGCGAATTAACGCAATGCGGTGCACCTGACGCGTGCGTCAAGTAGACGTCTGCTTCGAAAGTAGTCTATGCGCGCGTTTGACAGCCGCATTCGAAATGGGTTCAAAGTTTCATTTTTCTTCCGAAGAAGATGAAAAATTGATAGAATGTGTATCAAATTATGTTGTTTTGTACGACAGCGGCCAAGCGGATTATAAAAATCAATATATTCGAGACAATATTTGGAAACAAATATCAGAAAATGTGCAAAGAAAAAGCAAGTTATTTTATAATTTATATATATTTATTTTATAAAAGTAAGGTAACATTTTTTATAAAGTGACTATATTAAACCCCTTCGTACCCAATCCTCTTGCCATTGTACTGAACCTTGTGGGGAATTAAAGTAGTCTTTAAACTGATTCCGAATTTCGAAGCCTGCAACATTGCCAAATCCTCCTCCTCTAGCAATAGGGAACATGTTATTTACAGGCAGTTCAATGTCTTGGTTGTATATTGGTTTTCCTTTCTGCAGATATTCATCCCGTAACATATTGTGTAAACAACATGTTACAGGTATTATTGCATCTGTAGTTTCAGGCTTAACTGCTATTGGAGCATAAAATATTCGGAATGTTTGCGAAAGTAAAGCAAATGCATTTTCAGATACTCTTCTTGCGCGACATAATCGGTAATTAAAAATTGCTTTTGAATTATCGAGCGTTGCCTGATTTTTTGGATAGGGTTTCATCATGTGTGGGGCAAGACGAAAAGCTTCATCACCCACTATAACGTGTGGTAAGACCACGTCTGATCCTGGCAATGCTTTTTCATCAGGGATGTTGAATGTTCCAGAACGAATATGGTTACCCATAGGTGATTTTTCAAAAATACTGCTATCCCCTTCTTTGCCGTAAGAGCCAACATTTATAGCAGTAAACTTGTAATTCGAATCAACGATAGCCAGCAACACTATTGAAAAATAATTCTTATAGTTAAAGAATAAGGATCCACTGTTCTTTGGGCACAATATTCTTATGTGTTTGCCGTCAATCGCCCCTATGCAGTTTGGAAAATTCCATTTCCCATAAAAATCTTTGGCAATTTTTTCGAAATCAGAACATGTTGGTTGTTTCAGATATAAAGGAACCAATTTGTTGCGTAATTCTTCAATTACTTCTTTCACAATAATACTAATATAGCCATATGAAATTCGAAATGTAAATGCTAACGACCTGAATGTTTCACCGGTAGCAAGAAATCTAAAAAACAAAAAAATTGTTTTAGCTGCTGATTGTAAAAAAAGATGGCGCAACATTAGGGACACCTATATGAAGGTGAAACGCAATCAACCAGGAACAGGCTCTGCTGCACAGCCAAAATGTAAATGGCCCTTATTCACACAGCTTACTTTTCTAGATAACGTTTCATATGAACGAAGGTAAAATAATTTTTATTTTGAAATATTCAGCCATTCAAAACAAACCCCTATAGAACTCAAATTCTTTTATTAGCACTCAGAGTAACATCGCATCCTACAACGTAGTAACAACGCTGCCTGAAGAAAATGTACTTCAGGAAGATGTTATGATTGAAGATTCAAGAAACGTATTGGACGATTTGCAAACATCTGCACCGGAACAATCAAAAGAGGAAGACAATAATTCTCTTAGCAAAACCGCAAAAAGAAAATCATCAATTCCTCTCGGTTTTGTTACTAAAAAGAAAAAAGATAACAACACAAGAATATTAGAAATATTGGAGAAAAGAGCTAATGAGCGGGAAAAATTAGTGGAAAAGTTAAGCACCTCTAAAAGAAGTGATGATGAAGATCCGACATTATCATTTTTCAGAAGTATGGCGTTAACGGTGAAAACATTTCCACCTAATTTCATAGCAGCTGCAAAATCGAAAATTTTTGAGGTGGTCAGCGAATTTGAAATCAGATCGCTTCAAATTAAACAGGGATCAGGAACCACAGATAGCGATACCATTAGCGATGTAGCATTAAATTATGATGATGATCAAACTTAATGTATTATTAGACAGGGTGTAACTGAATGACTGCACAAACTTCAAGGGGTGATTATTTAGTGAATTTTAAGATTGCAAAGCCTACTAAGATTTTTTTCATATATGAAAGTACCCTTAAAATTCACTAAAGAATCACCCTTGAAGTTTGTTGCAGTCATTCAGATACACCTGTATACTACTTAATATAATGATATTTACCTAAATGTTAAACTTAGTTTTTCTTCTGCCGTAATTGGTAATTTAACCCTTCTTGATGATGGTTTTGTTAATCTATCACCAACAAGTCCAAGAATAAAATGAAATTGACTTTTATTCAATCTAAAAAACTGTTTAAATGTCTGCTCGTCTAGTAATAAATGATTTTTTAAGAGAGTATTTGAAAAACCCTCTTTCAGTCTACGTTGATACAAATTACGCGCAACTTTTCTTTTCTTTTTTCTCAAAAGTAATAACAAAATTTCGTCATCGTCATGCTCTTGTAACAAGAGAAGCAATTTGTTATTATGTTGCGGGTCCATTGTACGGTTATTACCCAAACGTCGTTAAAAAAAAATAGTCAAACAAATTTGACTAATTTGCGGCAGGTCCGTCGCACGGTGACACGCTTATTGGAAAACAGCATGCTGCGTCTACACGCAGCGTTTTGACGCATCCGTCAGACGTGTGCGTTGACGCTTGCGGCAGACGCGCTTAGGAAATCCCACCTTGAAACAGTCCCATTAACAGAGGAGGAATCTAAAGTACTCGCCAAAGACTTAAATTATGCAGTCGCTCCAAAGAGGGTTCCCAAAGAAGAAATTATATGTGAAGTGGAAGCGGCTATTCGCAGAATACCTGCAGTGAAAGCAGAGGAAATTCGTCAAGACATAGCGAGAGTGCTTAAAACAGCAAAGCCACCAAAATCAAACTTAACAATAAACGAAAGAAGAGCACTACGAACGATAAGGGAAAAACCAGACATTATCATCCTACCAGCGGACAAGGGGAATGCGACCGTGGTTATGGACAGAAAGGAATACGACGACAAGATCAAGAGCCTTTTGGACCCAGCCACCTATAAGAAAATAAAAAAGGACCCAACCGAGAAGATAGTAAGGAAGATGAAAGAACTGGTAAAATCCACAGAAATCCCAGCAGATCAACAGAAAAGCTTATTCGTACAGGCTCCAGTACCACCAAGGATATATGGATTACCCAAAATCCATAAACCAGACGTCCCACTACGCCCTATTGTCAGTGCCATAAATTCTCCCACCTATCAACTAGCAAAACACCTTTCCAAGATTCTGTCTCCTTTTACAGGTAAAACAGAGTCATATGTCAGAGATTCCACACATTTTGTAGAATCAATTAGGAGTATGAAGCTAGACCCTCAGGATATGCTGGTAAGTTTTGACGTGGAATCTCTATTCACCAGAGTACCAGTCAAGGATGCCGTGGATGGTCTTCGCCAGAAACTCATCCCGGAGGGTTTGCCCAAGTATGTCCCAGGACTAGTGGAATACTGCCTATCGTCGACATATTTCAGCTGGAAGGGGGAATTCTACGAGCAATGCGAAGGAGCAGCCATGGGATCACCTCTGTCTCCTGTGATAGCCAATTTTTACATGGAGATGTTTGAAGAGGAAGCGCTAAAGAAGAGTCCTTGGAAACCGAAGCTATGGCTCCGTTACGTCGATGACACTTTCGTGATCTGGCAACATGAAAAAGAGCAACTCCAGGAATTTCTAGACCACCTCAATTCACAGCACCCCATGATAAAACTTATCATGCCAAAATGCAAAACAGCTGCCATTCCTATTAGTCACTAGGAAGACAGATGGGGGCATGGAACTGGGAGTATATCGAAAGAAGACACATACGAATAGGCTTCATCCCACCACCACCCACAACAGAAAAGGTCCGTGATTCAAGCCTTATTCCAGCGAGCAGAGAGGATATGCGATAAAGAGAACCTAAGAAAAGAAGATAGATTCCTAGAAGATGTGCTGCAGAAGAACGGCTACACGATGAGAGATATCCGACGAGCCACTAAACCACACAAACAGAAGTACGACACCAGCCGGTACGGTACGGTCAGCAAAATACAAAACGCTCTTCCGATAGCCAAAGAGAAACTAACCCCATTAAAGGGAGCGGGAGTCTACCGGCTATCTTGCAGTTGCGGGAAATATTACGTTGGCCAAACTGGACGTAATATCGAGTGCCGCATCAAGGAACACGAAAGAGACGTCCGACTAAGGAAGATCCAACAATCTGCAGTCGCAGAGCATTGCCACAAAGGAGGACACAGCATAGAGTTCGAAAAAACCAAAGTACTAGCAAGAAACGGACATTACTTCCAAAGATTGACGAGAGCGGCGATAGAGATTCATCGACATGGGAATAACATGAATAGACAAGATGGCTGGGAACTCAGCCGCACATGGAAGATGTTGGTGAACCCAACGAAGTTTTCTCCACCCGGATTTAACAAAACAACTTAGTTGACAATTAGACACTAATTAGTTATTAATCACAATTCACAACTTAATAATGAAACTTGTATAACATTCTTTACATTTTTTAAACTAATGTATGAACAAACGGTCTTCCACAATCACCAATACAACAAACTAACCATTGTTACAAAAAAAACATTTGCAATACAGTAACAATAACAATAATTTCTTTATTAACTACTAATATCTGACATTCTGCAAAGTGCATTGAGCCGAGAACAAAACTGTCCGGTATCGACGCCTGAAAACCGCAACGGACGTGCACAGTCGCATAAACTTAAAGATTTCATTCATTAATTGAGTAATTTTGTATGATAACTTTTTTTTAACTGCCATTTATGTATTGGCGGTGTAAGAGTTCCTTTATATCTTATTATATATAATTATTATAATATTAAATTATATTATTATTATTAATGGTGTGCACGTCCGTTCTGAACTGTATCTTTTGATAAAGGTAGAGAGGCTGCGCTGACGTTATAATGTCTGAAGTAAGTTGTCGCACAATGCAAATTTTCTTTGATTTATCATATTTACCAACTTACTTCAACCAATCAACACTCAGATTTATAGAGATCTATAAACTCTATACGATCTATAACTCAAATCTATAAATCTGTTGAAGACATTTATAGATTTGAAAATCGTATGTATAGATCGAAAATAGAAGTAGGGAGAGTACCGACCCCCACAGGTAACGTCCTTATCCTACAGGTAACGTCCGATTATGCTTTTTTCCGATAGTAACATAAAATTGGTACTAGAAAAAATTCAGTATAATCAATTTTCATTTGAACTATGTGGTGACTTCAAAGTCGTTGCTTTACTTCTCGGATTGCAGCTGGGTTTTACAAATTATTGTTGCTTTTTATGTGAGTGGGACAGCAGAGATCAAAACAATTATTACCGCAAGAAAGACTGGCCAAAGCCTCACTCCTAGGAATAAAAATGTTTTCTAACCTCCATTTGTCGAGCCCGCCAGAGTAGTTCTGCCACAACTACATATAAAACTAAGCCTAATACAAAATGTTGTCAAAAACATGGATTGCAACGGTCCAGGTTTTATGTACTTAAAAGAAAAGTTTCGTAAAGTTGGTGTAGTAAAGTAGTCCATTAACCTTTGCTTCAGAGGTGAAATATCTTGGTGTTATCTTGGATAAAGGAGTGATTTGAAAATCATACATTAGTTGCAAAACCCACACAGTGTCGAAGGGCAATTGGGAATACTTGGGGATTAAATCCGACAGTTACAATGTGGATCTACACGTCTGTGATAAGACCCATGGCAGCTTGCAGAACCATAGTTTGATGCTCAGCACTGAAACATACCTATAAGGCTAAGTTGTTGCATCAATTGCAACGAGTGACCAGCCTGTTAATCACGGCCGCCATGAGATCGACGTTGTTTCGATTGCAGCCATTGGATAAGCTCGTACAGAATACATCACATCTACTTTCTTAAATATGCTACGTTTTGGCATTAATACCTCAAAGCAACTTAAGCACGGGCAAAACCTGCACGGGTAGATGGGATGAGACAGCAGTAGGTGTCTTTGCAAAAAAAAACTCTGCTCTACCCTGACCGGAAGAGATCTACTACAGTTCGTGGGAAAATCAAAAAGTTATTTTCACGATTTTTTGGTTTGCGTTTGTGAGAATTCTTGAAGCCTATAGATAGCAGATGAATTGAATAGGCTAGAACACATCTCAAGAACAGAACGAACATAAATAGTTGAATAGGCAGGTCATCATCATTCATCAGAAGAAATTTTCTCAAAACATGATTTCAGTTAGTAAAAATAATATGCCATTTTAATACACCAGCATGAATTAAGTTGGTAACAATTCATTTGGATACCTTCTTTTATATATAGCTTAGGATACGTTCTTTTATATACAGGATGTATCAAAAAAATGTACTCACACTTCGAATGACGAGAAAAACATTCTTTATGAACATAGAGGGACATGGAATGGCTTCGAATACAGAAGATAAATGTAATTGAAGAATCATGTTCGCAAATGTTCAAATTGATGACCATTATTATCCAGACAACGCCGATAACGTTCACCAAAGGATTCGCAAACAAATATTGTCTTTCAATTTCCAATTTCAATGCATCGATTGTTTTTGGTTTGATGCGATAAACTTTGTCTTTGAGGTATCCCACAAAAAGAACTCCATGGGAACTCCAAAGAACTCCATGAACTCCATCTTCGTCTAATCCATGTGTTTGGAAAAGCTGCATCGAGGTGAGCTCGCACATCGCGATAGTACATAGTGGGGAGGTGCTCCATCTTGCTGAAAGTACATCTCGTCTTCATTACCAAACATCTCAGAAATTTGTGGGCCGACTACTGAGGCAAGTGACTCTCACCAGTGACAATTGTCCTATGATGCTCAAGGCGGATATCCCACACCATATTGTTACTTCTGGTAAGTTTACATGATGTTCAAGTGTTACATGAGGATTTACAGCACTCCAGTACGTGCAATCATGGCGATTAATGGAGCCATTTAATTTAAAGGATGACTCATCCCTCCACACAATTTTGTGTGAAAACCCTGCATCTTTTGCACATTTTACCAGGTACCAAAAACAGAATTGAATTCTTCAGTCAGGATCGTCTTCGGGGAGAGTATAGATTACAGTTGGAATGTAAACGCTTCATGATGCGATAGACGCTATCTTTTGAGATCAAAGAGTTTGATCGAAGGAGTGTTTCCTGTACCTGCTCTTCACCGTGGTCATCTAGAATATTTGTTGTGGACTCAAATTTCTCTCTGATGCGAGTAAAGGTCCGTCGCGTTGGTGGCAGTTTTGCGAATTCCCTTCTGAATCGCTTTTGTACCATTATGGCGTTTTTGGTCTTCCAATAACATTTAAGGACAAAATTCCTCTCCTCCAAACTAAGTTGTTTTTATTGCCATGTTGTGATTAATTAATTACACCTGCAATACTAAAAAGACAGCATGTTAGCGACAGTTAAAGTGTGAGTACATTTTTTTTGAGACAACCTGTATAACTAAGGATACGTTCATTTATTAAAAATTTTATTTTAATTTAATCATTTTAATTTTGAGAGAAAATTTCAAGCTTTTTGTCTTTTCAAGCACTTTCCAAAGTAGATTGGTTCAGAAAAGTGGCAATTTGAGTATTAATATCATGTACACTGTGTTAATTAATTATCGTACCCGACGTCATCATTGCAAGTATGCAACCAAATATGCAAATCGCGTATTGCAATACCATTACTGTGAGATTGGTTGCATCGTCGGGTACGATAATTAATTAACACACTGTATTTATTCTTTCTTTAATTTGTTTTGTTAATGTTTACTTTATTTACTTATTTTTATTGAATTTTTTGAATTCGGTTTAGATTGAATTTCCCTCTTTAAAAATCTATCGATTTTTCCGTCTATTGTTCATAGTATTCATTCACTGAGCCATAATGCCCCTGATTTCGATTGTTGCGCCACGATTTGTAGAGTTCATACAAGCTGTAAATTGTTGATAAAAGTCTCTGTGTTGAATCAAATCTAATTTTTAGCCAGTTTTAAATAAGTTATCACATAGTGTGGATGCATAGGAAAACGTAAGTTAAGCAAAGAATAAAATTTTCCACTGCATTTATTATAAAAGCTAGTTATATTTTAATTTGTTAAAGAAGCAAAGAGCAAGAAATGTTTTCGTTGGGAATTTTGCTCTTTGTAAAGTGCTAATTCATTATTTTTACGGATCTTGGAAGGCAAAATAAAGCCGATGTGAAGTACGGCTAAACCCGAGCGAAAATTATGACCCGTTTTTTGCCGTTGCGCGCGCGGGGCTCCGGTGATTTATCCGGGACGTAGGTAGCAGATGTGCGGATTCCCGGATAATAAGGGTTTGCGTCAGTTATTGCAACGGGGGTACCGTTGCTTACGCATTAAGCCGACGTGAGCCGTAGAAATATACCCCCCGGTTACCCGCGCGAGAACTGATAAACTACATTCCCGATACTCTGAAATATCGTACCTCACTGTTCAATTGAAATGAAACGATCCACCATATTGTAGCTATTTATCTGATACATATGGTACAGTTCAATTAAGCACTTCCAATAACAGAACCTTAATTGGGAACAATTAATTATGCGGTTGTAATTTTAAAATTTAGCTTTTAATTGGTTACAAAGTTAGTTATCTAACTTGACATTTTGGCTTCATAAATCTTAAAAGTAACTAAATTTATGTGTTTGACGCATAAACCGTAGTAGCACTGAATGGGCGTATAGGAAATATATGGCCATTGTGTCTGAACAGTTCAGAATTTGTACCATGCCAGTAGGAGATCAATCAAACGCAGACCACCACAGGGGCGAATCCATGCAGAGAACTTCCCTCGGACGACGTGTGCACGAAAGCTCAACGGTTCATCACAAAAATTCAAACTCGATAGTCCTAATGGGTGCGGGCCGGCGTATAACCACGTCGTTTCCCACGAAAAATGCGACCGACTCAGAAAAATATCAATTGTGGAGATGAGCTTCCGACGTGAGTCGAATCTGTAAAGAACCGTCGTCGCCAACGCGTCCTCCCGGTTTGGCCGATGTTTTATTCATGCCATTGAGAGACTTATCGATAGGTACAAATGGGCCGGATCCGGAAACCGTTCTCACAAACCTGAAGAAATTATACCGAGTTGGACCCCTTCAGGACCGCTCCCACACGGTGCGACCATCGTAATTTATGACTTTCAAAACGGGGTTCGCGTGAAGACACTCCCACCTCGACATTCGTCGGTGACTCACCTTGCAATATCTTAAATTGGATTACCTTTCGTGAGATTAACAATTTTACACTATGTAGGGTGTTTAAATTACCTATGCATGCAAATGACCATTTTTGTAATGAGGATTGGGTTGGGTTAAGATTATGATTGTTTAAGATTGCTCATTTTTCTTTGAAAAGTAAGCACTTTACATACACATAAGAATCTCAT